CCATAAATTTTCTTGATTGTCCAGCTCTGATTCTGTGTTCCTACATTTGCATTTTATTATTCTCAGTCAAAAATTCAACTGCATTCTCATATATTTCATGTTGTGAAAGGTCCTCCTCCACCAATTTTGTATTGAACAGTGTATATTAATTAATATTTTTTTTAAATTTACAAAATCTGAAAGAAGAAATGTTTTTGTTCAATCCTCCCTCGATTCTTGATACAACCTTACACTATCCTAACGAAGAAGTGTGGATCAGGTTGACTTGTTAACTTCTTGGAGTGTTCGACAAGAAAATTTTGTTGTCAAGAGAAGTGTTGACTAGATCGAAGTCAAGAATGGCAGAGGCCTATTGGTACGAAAGCTTGTAAGTGATAGGAATCACGAGGAATCTGCAGGCACTCTTAAATTGCATAATTATACAACTTTTCTCACCAAAATATGCACACAATGTGACTCCAGATAATAAAGTTTGAGAAATTTCTTGCTAATAGAATGACCTTTCTACCCTAAAAGACAACAAATCACGAAATAAAGAGCTACATGTCTTGATTATCATAGATTTTTTATACCCCCCCCCCCCCCCCCGCTTGAAAAGCGGGAGGGTATAGAGTAATCGGTATGTCCGTCCGTCCGTCTTTTACGCTTTGGGGTACCCAGCTCTTATTCGCAACTCCTCTCATACCACTGAATGAAATTTGATCAACTTTCACAGAATCTTTATTTCATATTGCCATTGTGACCTCCTATTTTACTTTTTAATCTGACTCATATTTTGGGTTTCACATAGCAAAACATTGACACTGTCATTATTATATTCATATGGGAGACAGGGGGTATCATTTAGTGAGCTAAGTACCTCTACTTCATTTTGCATAAGGTTTTGAAAAACAAAATAGACTTTTTACATTTGAACATAAATGTGTTGTTCCTTGAGTGTTGATTGATTGATTTAATATTGTTTAACGCCGATTTGGAAATTTTTCAGCCATGTTTCGGCGGACTATCAGTTTAAATAATCGGTTTTTGAAGGATTTTGGTTTCTCTGGCGGCCCCAAGTGAGCTTACTCTTTTTCGAACTCCAGAGAAACGATCTTTTACGTGCCAAGTTGGTTGTCATCCTTGACACGGGGCACCATTTTACTTGAGTGTTGAAAATACCAAAATTCCGAAGACAGACTGAAACATATAACAAATAAAGCTGGAACAGAAGATGTCAGTGGAAAGTACTAAGTTCTTGTAAGTGCTAAAAAGCTATAACAAAGTATTCAATGAAATCGGTCAAGAATTTCTTCAGTTGTATTTGATGGTGTGCTGAGGGATGTTGAGGTAGAAATGCAAGTTGATAAACACAGGATTCAGGAGTGATTTTAGGTGGACGGGGGCTCAAAGGCTTTGGAACATGGTCAAATACGAGGGGAGAAATTTGGAAACTCTTAAGTCGAGTTTGTTTTAACTATTTCCAGAAAAAAAAGAATCTTTTCTAGTATTTTTCTTGGTTCATATTTAATGGACTAATCAATATACTATGTATATAAAAAACAAACTGTGATTTATTTTCTGCAAAACGACTCAAAATTGAGCAGTTTGAGTATTTTACGAAATTCGAGTGAATATGACGTCATTTTGAATTGCCATTTTGAGCTAATTAACACATTTTAAATTCAAACAACTAAATTTCCCGATTTAAAGTAATCATATTCGTGTTTTATTGGAATTTAACATAGTTATCAGTAAGATATTCACAAACCCTTTCTCCTATGTAAACGAAATTAAGAAATAATTTGAACAAAGGAATATCCGCCATTTTGAATCGCCATTTTGACTTTTAACTTACAGCTGCACTATCATTCAATTGTATAATAGTGAGATGTAGAGGAAAAATACAAATCTGCAGTGTATGGATGTTTGCAAATGTAAAACCCTAAACAAAGCAGAATATAGAACAATAGACAAATAAATCAGAGAAAATTCGAATTAAGTGTGGTAACGACTAAATTTTCTGAGTTAAACTAATAATGTTAGCATTCTTTTATCATTTTTTAGTTTTATTACACTCAGTAAGATATTCACACATTATTTCTCCTTTTTGAACGATATTGAGAGAAAATTAGAATAATTTGAGGTCCGTCATTTTGATTCGCCATTTTGACCTCTTTAACGCCATTTTCATGAAGGCCAGCATATTTTTTCGGATTCAGCATACTCGAAATAGGTTTAAAAACTATGCTGGACCAAATAAAAATTATTTGCCGTTAGAAGTATTTTTTCTATAAATCGGACCAGACTACAACGTTTGGCACTTTGAAGTCAAAGATATGGGTGCTTCAGACGAAACTTAAAAAACCGCGACAACGTGTCACGGTTATTGTTGGTACTATAAGGAACCTTCAATGCTTAATAGCCCTGAGTTCCTGAAAAGGTCCTTCACCGGTTAATGATGAGGTCTCTATGAGTGAAAAATTCTCCAACGGGATTTAAAACATCATACAGTCAGTCACTATACTTAAACCGCTGAATAGTTTTCGAGATAAAGCCAGCTCTAACTTTGGTTAAAAGGAAAAAGCTCTAACAGTCATTGAAAGGTCTACTGGGAACATGGAAGATCGAAAATAATAGAAGGCAGACTTTGTAGTCCTAAAAAAAGAAAATATTAAAGGGATTTTTTATTTCATTCATCATTTCCATGCACAAAATTTTTCTTTGTAAATGAAAGTCGATGCTGTTTTAGTATGTCCTACAATTGTCGTAGCAATTGTTTAAAATAAAGCACTAGCTCAAAAGTAAGTGTGTTCGAGATAAATATATGAAGAATACTGAATTGTATGTATTATTTTTTCTATTCCTATGCGTCAAATAAATACTTTGATCTTAATATAAACTTCGACATGGAAAACTCATTCTCCAAATGAGAATTTAGGTATGATTATTAAACGTAACCACACGTCGATATGCCAAACACGCGTCCCGGAGAATGCTATTTTTCCAAAGAAAAATGTTCAGGATGATTGATTTTTCTGGTTTTAAAGGAACTCGTCTTACTTCTAATAGTAATTTCAGTTAAGTGTGAAGTTTTGCATTACGTCACAACCTATGATGACAGCTGCGCTCAAGGTAAAAGGTACACGCCTACTAATCGCAAGCTTTACGACTGGAGTTTTTTTTCTAATCCCTGAGTGGTTGCTCGTGCAACAGACAATGTCCGTGTCAATGTTGATAATATGAGTTGACCAATCACACAACGGAGGCGTGAATTGTTTACGCTGCATGCATGATCGTGACGTAAAGCAAAACTTCACACTTAAGTGAAATTACTAATATTTATATGATTAAACCCGAATATAACAAACAATTCTCAAGCTGAAAGTTCAGTTTAACCATATCGATGAAGAGCAGGGCCAACAAAGAACTCTGAAAACAAAGGGTGGATCAGCTGCCTTCCGGGCTGACCCCCTGTTTACCAGTCGCACACGACGCTTATCTATGGACAGGATTAAGTTAACAGAAAATTCATAGACCATTCAATGTAATAATAAAATAATTACATAAGAAATTATATTAAAGGCTTAAGATAATTTTGACCAAATAGTGGAGAGTAATTGCAACTTGGCCATTGTTTCCACTTATAATTGGCCGAATGTTACTTTTAAAAGAGATAGTTGGTATCCTTGAATCATAAACTTGTTTGTAAAAAACCTGTCTCGTTTCAGAAATAGATGGAACTTGCTTATCAAATCACTGGAAGACATTAACTCTATACGCGGATTATTATATCATATTACCTCATAAAAAAGGAAAGTTGACAAAAAGAAAGTTGAAGTCATTACATTCACATATAATTTAGTTGAGAGTTTGCCATCAATGTTCTTCACTATTGAAGTATCTATACATGACACTGATGTTAAAGACTCTGTTGTACCACTGAGTGAAATTTAATGAAACTTTCACAGAATCTTTATTACATATTGCATATTGTTATTGTGCACCTCCTATTTTACTTTTTGATCCGACACATATTTTGGGTTGGCCACAGCAAAACATGGACTTTGTCATTATAACCATATGGGAGGCGGGGGTATCATTTAGTGAGCTCATTGCTCACAGTACCTCTAGCTTTAAAAGTGAATTTCTTTGCGAGGACAATAGGAAAGTTCATGGAGTTTTCTGTGTTTAGGACCTCTTTAATGAATCTTTAATTTTCAACTGTGAAAAAGTAAAATTGCATATAAATGCTTCAACATTTACTAGTGATATATATTGCATTCTTATTATGTTTTTAAAAATACACAGTTTTAATGTTGGTTATGAGTGTGCTTGTTTTGTACAGCATAATTAAGATGAAAAAATGCAAAACTTTGTAAATTTGCATTGGCTGTGTTGTTTTTGTCAAGTGCACAAAAAAAAAAAAAGATTTGCAGACGTTTTCTATTTCATCGTATAATATGAATGTTTTTGTAAATTACGAATTTGTATCTGATCCACATTAATTTTTATTAGGTAATTGGCATGTTATTATTAACGCAAATAAATTTTTAATTGATATTTAATCTAGGCAATCTTGCATATATTTAGGAGTGTATACTAATGAAGTCTGGCTTCTAATGAATCTCATGATGTGTAGTTGATACACTGAATTGAGGACGGATTTTCCCGTTATTTCCTAATCATGACAAGATTCACACGGCCTTTGTGACCGGGGATGCGGTGACAGGGGATGCTCACTCCTCCATGGCACCTGATCCCACCTCTGATGTTTTGGAGGTCCGTGTTTGCTCTGCTCCTATTTTGAATTGCTTATTGGACTTTGAGCTTGAATACTGTTCGTTATCTCCATATTTTCATAAAAATAAAGTTTATTTTCATTTATTTCATACCATATAGATAAAGCATCCATAGAGTTGATTATTTATGTTTATTGTTTAAGAATGTTCAAGGATTTTATAGAAATGTACATGTATTTTGGCCACAGAAATGTCTTAATCCTATGTTCTATTTTACAGAAAGTTTGTTTGTCGACGCATTAACTCTGCCAGGTTCGCCTGCCTGTTCCAAGCCAGGAGAAAAGAGGAGGATGAATAACATCAGTAAAGTTTTAATATCTTTGTGGTATCAATTGTTGCTGTATTTCAAGATCACTGTGATCTATTGAGTGGACAAATTATCAAAGGAAGCTATTATTTATAAACTTATTAAACAGATCGAGACCACTAGATCTTCTGACGTCAGCATAAATTTGCATGTAAATTAGCTGTCAGTTTACTTTACCAACTGCTGAATGAGCCGCAGTGCATTGTGGGCTACTACAAGTACCCAGCTGTGTTGAAAATAAAGGAAAACTTGAATATTGTCCCTTGGAAACTTATTTTCAATTCCTTTTTAGCTCACCTGAGCCGAAGGCTCAAGTGAACTTTTCTGATCACATTTTGTCCGGCGTCCGTCTGTCTGTCCGTCCGTCTGTCTGTCTGTAAACTTTTCACATTTTCGACTTTTTCTCAAGAACCGCTGGGCCAATTTTAACCAAACTTGCCACAAAGCATCCTTGGGTGAAGGGGATTCAAGTTTGTTCAAATGAAGGGCCACGCCCTCATTCAAGGGGAGATAATTGGGAATTAATGAAAATTTGGTGGTATGTTTTAAAAATCTTCTTCTCAAGAACCACTGTGCCAGGAAAGATGAAACTTATGGGGAAACATCATCAGGTAGTGTAGATTCACATTTGTTCAAATCATGACCCCCGGGGGTAGGGCTGGGCCACAATGGTCAACCAAAGTTTTACATAGAAATATATAGGAAAATTCTTTAAAAATCTTCTTCTCAAGAATAACAAAGCCATAATTGATCATATGGAACCAGGTCAGTGTACCCAATCCTCATTAACTTGTGTATTGACAATAAATTGACCTCCATTATATCACTCATGTTTTCTTAAGACTTCTACTCAACAACCATACTGGCCCTGTGGTTCTTGAGAAGAAGATTTTTAAAGATTTTTTCTATATATTCCTATGTAAAACTTTGATCAGCCATTTTGGCCCCACCCTACCCCCGGGGGTCATGATTTGAAAAAACTTGAATCTACACTACCTGAGGATGATTCCAAATGAGTTTCATTTTTTAAAAAAATCTTCTTCTCAAGAATAACAAAGCCATAATTGATCATATTTATTTGGAAGCATCCTTAGGTAGTGTAGATTCAAGTTTGTTCAAAACATGACCCCGGGGGTAGGGCTGGGCCACAATGGTCAACCAAAGTTTTACATAGAAATATATAGGAAAATTCTTTAAAAATCTTCTTCTCAAGAATAACAAAGCCATAATTGATCATATTTATAAGGAAGCATCCTCAGGTAGTGTAGATTTAAGTTTATTCAAATCATGAACCCCGGGGGTAGGGCGGGGTCACAATGGCCGACCAAAGTTTTACATAGAAATATATAGGAAAATTCTTTAAAAATCTTCTTCTCAAGAATACCATAGCCATAATTGATCATATTTATGTGGAAGCATCCTCAGGTAGTGTATATTCAAGTTTGTTCAAATCATGACCCCCGGGGGGTAGGGCGGGGCCACAATGGCCGACCAAAGTTTTACATAGACATATATAGGAAAATTCTTTAAAAATCTTCTTCTCAAGAGTAACAAAGCCAGAATTGATCATATTTATATGGAAGCATTCTCAGGTAGTATAGATTCACGTTTGTTCAAATCATGACCCCCGGGGTTAGGGCGGGGCCACAATGGCCGACCAAAGTTTTACATAGACATATATAGGAAAATTCTTTAAAAATCTTCTTCTCAAGAATAACAAAGCCGTAATTGATCATATTTATATGGAAGCATCCTCAGGTAGTGTAGATTCAAGTTTGTTCAAATCATGACTTCCGGGGGTAGGGCGGGGCCACAATGGCCGACCAAAGTTTTACATAGAAATATATAGGAAAATTCTTTAAAAATCTTCTTATCAAGAGTAACAAAGCCAGAATTGATCATATTTATTTGGAAGCATCCTCGGGTAGGGTAGATTCAAGTTTGTTCAAATCATGACCCCGGGGGTAGGGCGGGGCCACAATGGCCGACCAAAGTTTTACATAGACATTTATAGGGAAAATTCTTTAAAAATCTTCTTCTCAAGAATAACAAAGCCATGATTGGTCTTGGGACTACTATTGGATTTAAACTTTTCAATAATAAACCAAATTCTGGTTTTTCCTAGCCACAGTGCTCAGGTGAGCGATGTGGCCCATGGGCCTCTTGTTGAGATTTGTGAAAAAAATATTTAAAATGATGTATAATCTTTCATTTCTATGCTCACATTCACAAAATTTGCTTTATGAAGCCTTATATCAACTTATAATACATCGGCCTAACACCCCCCCCCCCCCGTTCCGACGCCTATGCATTAACTTTTCTATCGTCAACTTCCCTTACTTATGCAACAAATACCTTCATCACCTGCATACGGAGAGTTTATATATCTCAGTTGATTCGATATGCAAGAGCATGCTCTACATATGTACAATTTCTAAAATTAGGTAAATTATTGACAAACAAGTTGAAATAAGAATATCAGAAGCCTTGATTTAAAAAGTCATCATTTCGTAGGTTCTATGGTCGATACAATGACCTTGTCAGCAAACACAATTTATCATTGAGTCAAATGCTGACTGACATTTAATACCAATTGTTAGTCCATTATTTATACACTGAATAGACGACAGATTTCCCCGTTATTTCCCGAACATGACAAGGAGCACACGGCGAATGAGACCGGTCGGCAGGGGATGCTCACCCCTCCATGGCACTTGATCCCACCTCTGATGTTTCGGAGGTCCGTGTTTGCTCTGCTCCTATTTTGTATTGTTTGTCGACTTTAGTATTGAACACTGTTCGTTTTCTCCAGATCCTTCACTTAAAAAGTTTTGTGGTTTAGAGTTAATTTCCAAAAAAATTTTAATTTTTTTTTAGAATCCACTTCTAAAATATGTGGTAGTGCATTACATTTATTGTTCAATCTTGATGTAATTTGAAGACACAGATCGTGTTAATTATTTCTTCCATATAAAATGTCATTATGCAACTTTGGCTCTCAGCTTTGAATACTTCTACCTTCAGCAACTGATTTGACCAACATATCACTCTGTATATTGTTCTGTAAAAAATCCTGTGGTTCATCGTTTGTACTTGCAGTTTATTACCGAAGAAAAGGAAACGTATTGCTGCTTGTACTGTATATGGGTAGTATCTTTGTAAGTATGTCCTTTAAAGTTAAATTACTACATGTAATTTGATGTTTTTCGTAATTCAAGGAAAGATAAACACATGACTGCAATCTATTGGAAACAGTGAAAAATTATAATGAGAATGAATAATGCTTGACATGTGTTACAAAAAAAACTTTCTAAAGGTATATAAACGAGAGATTTATGAAACACTTCACTCACCTGATGCTATTGGACTAAGTAAGATCACTTGACTAGAAATCGATTCAAAATTCTAAATAACCCACCTGTTTCTATGCTAGGTTTGATATCAGCAATGGTCCAATGCGAGAGGATAAGTATGTTGTCATTAGATATATTTTTTAATTATACCAACAGGATTGATAACAGATATACCAGTGATATTTTCAGTATGATGCAATTATGTCAACAGCATTAATAAAAATATAATATTATCAATATATTGCAATTATGCCAACACCATTAATAACGGATATAATACCTTCAGTAATTATGACATCAGTAGTGATAACAGACTTAGTACTTCCAGTACAATTGTGCCAACGGTATTTATATCGTAATTTGATACTTTTAGTATTCTGTTATTTTGCCAACGTACTATACACCAAATGAATTACTTTCAGTATAATTATTTTAATGCCAACATTATTAATGCCTAGATCTTATACTTTCAGTATTATGCAATTATGCAGACGGTGCTTACCCCAAACGGTATATAATATCTATATCAAAAGGAAGCATGGTGCCTCATATATTCTAATAACTTTCAAAACTTTTTTTCAAAATCTTATTTCTGATATATTTATACAACTTAATAATGCCAAAATCTATTCTTATACTCAAGTCATGGATTCTAAAAGCTTGGTTCTGTCTTATGAAAAGAAATAATTTGTTTATTAAATAAATTCAATGCATTAATTTTACTATTATTACTGCTTACATGTTTCAAGTGCCAGCACAAACATTCAGAAAATAATTAGTCATGTCATAACTACGAAAAACAACTGCAGCATTTTTATTGATGAAAAAGAAATAAAATTAACATTAGGTAATTTGCTTTCTGTATGTAGACCAGAAGATGAAATGTGTCCTTATTTTTATGTTTATTTTTGTTGGCTCGTAGTTTCAAAACTTGTATATTGTGTCAATTTAAGTTTTTATTCAACAAGAGGATGCATATGCTTAAAATTTGTTCCAACAAATTTAGACACAATTAGACACACGCTTACAAAGCACTGAAAATTTCTCGCTAATGTACGTGAAGCTAAAAAATACTCAACCTACTATTTTGCAGAGCCTACATATTTTCTCAAGCCTTACAGTTATCAAAAACGATGCTAGGTCATCGATTTACCCAGTTTAAAAACACGAAAATATATTATTTTTGTAGATAAAAATATTTCTAGAAACAAACATGAAGCTTATCTCGAAAACGTTTATGTAATCAAAATATAGGTCCCTGTTCGTATGGAATATATATTGTACATGAGGCACAGCTAGATGAACCTGTAGTCATGTGGATTTTTTTTTTAGCCCGTAGCCCCCCCCCCCCCCATCCACTTTGAAAAACTTTTCTAGAGGCTATTTGGATTGTTGTATATAAAATGTTGTGATGTACGTCATTAAGCAAAAAAAAAAAAAAAAAAAACAAACAAACAAACAAACAAACAAAAAACAAAAAAAAACAAAAAAACAACAAAAAAAAAAAAAAAAAAAAAAAAAAACACAAAAAAAAAAAAAAAAAAAAAAAAAAAAAAAACGTATATAGATATATAGTCTGAAGTGTATTAAATGTCTGCATAAAAAAATATTTCATTAAATTACATTGTATATAAGAACCGGCCACTATGCTTGAATATTCTTGAAAGTGTGCAACGTAAATTCATCTTAAAAAGGTAGCACGAATAATTATTTTTATTCTAATTAAATTCAATATATGAATTTTGTATCATGTAAATGTATTTTATTCAACAGAAGATTGAACTCAATAGCCCTCATTTTATACCATTTTAGGATATTAATGACACTTTCTATAGTTGACTTTCTACAGCTTGAGTATCTCGACGTTTTGTCAATATATACTTGTTTTATCTTTATCGTTTTTTTTTCATCTTCAGAAATGTGTGAATTGTGAAAAACCGGTGTGGGTTCATCGTGTCAATAAATGTCCCCATTACAATAATTTAACAGCATGGATTGAAGCTTCAAAGAGGCTCAATTGTTTTCATGATTTGAGATCCGCAGATCCAAAGGAGCAGACCAGAGTTTATCATTGTATTCCTAGTGTGTTTCTTAATGAGACAGTTGAGTTTTGTGGAAGAAACGAACCAATACAAGCAGGTAAATTTCATATTGTGATGTATCTGCAACTTTAAAGAGGAACTCTTCTCCCATGAGGCATTACTAATTTTTGTTCCATGCATTCATACACTCAATATTTTATCCAATAAAACAGATCCCGGGTGTATATTACTTTATTTCAAACAAAAGTTTGAAATATTTAAGGTAAGTCACTCCTGAAATTTGTTAAATCATGGATTTTTTGAGAAGTATATTTTGGATAAGTACTCATAAAGTGTAACTCAAAATCGCAGAGAAAATAGGGGGTCAGTGTGCATCCTACTGATCTACGGTACATTTAAGTTGACCTTTTTGCACTTAAATTTCATCTCTGGTTAATTACTTTAACAATTATTATATTTGAACAGATGTGAGCATGGCAATAAATATAATCTTATTTTACGTAAAATAGTTTGAATAATATTTATCATTAAACAAATCTTGCAAATTAATGCGTGTAAATTATTGTGTGACCTTTTTGCACTAAAAAATAACATATTTGGGGTATTAAAAAACTTAATAGGCAATAAAAAAATTTCTTATATCAAACTTTTTACGACTTAAGTGCTGATCAGTCACACGTATCCAGTAGTTTAAAATAATGAAAGAAAAAGGTGGGGTCAGTGATGTTAATTTTGAAATATTTGTCAAAATATGTGATTTTCAGGCAAAAAATGGTGTAAATTTGTTCTTGGCTTCTTTAATATATTTTCATTTTTTGGAAAAGTTTGTTGAGGGAAGGTGTAAAACTTAAAAAATATATAAAAAAAAAAATATGAATTAAGACCTAAATTAAATATTTTTAGCGATATCAAAACGGAAAATATTCTCCGAGTAAAAGTATGTGAGGCTAAATTTCCATTACTTTAAATTTTATAAATGTGCAGATTTGCAGAATTTTCTGCTAAATATCCTTCCACCAAAAGAATTAGTCCCTCATAAATCTTGCTTCTTTGTAGATTTTTGAGCAGTTTTTTCATTGAATGTTAAAAAATTTACATTGTTGAATTTAAATATGTTATAAAAATTGAATTTTAATAAGTAGTTTTGAAGTAAAAGCTTCTGCGTGAACTTTTCTAAAAAGCTGACGAGTGACTTACCTTAATACATTTTCCAAAAAAAAAAAAATTATATAATATTATACTTTTGTTAAAATGTTTCCTATAAAAGGTTCAGAAGGTAAAATAGCTATCTTTGATAGTCCACGCATAGCAAAGCTATACCCCGGGGTATAGTTTTTGCTATCCACCCTCGGATAATTTTCACGCAATTTTTGCCACCAATTTTGATTTCAAGCGATAAATTTATTGACTGATGATGTCATAATGACTTCAGTAGCATTGTGACGTCATCATGATGTCAGATTATTCTTGTAGTATTATCTTACTCAAAAAAATATTCAAACCTCAAAAACTGTAATTATACATCAGTATAATAAAACATTTATCCACTGGTTGTGAGTTTGATAGCTCTTTCATCAAACCCTTGACAGGAACTATAAAATTATATCATTTTTTTTCTCAGAAAAAGTGTCCATAGTGTGCTTTGTTTTCATAGATTTTGTGTTCCCCGAAATAATTGAGAAATTTTGGATGATACATTTATCTAGATGTCGGAATATTACAATACAAACAATGTTATTTAACAAAATTTCTTTTATTTTTATCTTTTATTGAAGATTCTTTATAATATACAAATATATATATATTACTAGTATCTAAAATAGGCTTTACCCTTTTTCTTAAAACATTTGTTTTGTATTTAGTAATTAACTGAAAGTATTAAGAGTAAACGGTAAATTATTAGTGAAAAATATATATCGTAAGATTAAGATTGTAGCAAGTATACATGTACATTGTATTGTCTTTTGAAAAAAAAAATGATTTCAAGCTACAAAGAGGTATTGTGAGCACTGAGCTCTCTAAATAATACATTTCATTTTACTTTTTGATCGGACAGATATTTCGAGTTTCTGATAGCAAAACATGGACACTGTCATTCTTTCTATAAAATTGAAGTCTTTCATCTGCAATATTGAAGGGTACCCATCTTTCATCTGCAACTCCACTTATACCACTGAATAAGATTTAATGATACTTATACAGATTCTTTATTTTACTTTTTCATCTGACACTTATTTCGGGTCTCCCATAGCAAAACATGAACTTTGCCATTTTAATAATACTTTATCATTTAGTGATCTCAGTGCTCACAGTACTCCATCGTCGCAAACCACGACCAAAATGTACGATCCTCTCCCATTCCGGACTCCGGACCGTGGCTTGAGACGATGACAATACTAATTCTTTTTTCTTTAGGGAATTGTCCGATATACAACTACAGATACGCAGCCAATGCCTCTCCAAGCTACTACAATTGTACAAATTTTACCTCCGGCTGTCCTTCCAAAATGTACTTTTCAAAAGATGTTTACAAACGTAAGTCTTTCTAGCCAAGATAAAACTATAAAATTTTAACAGTCTTGGGTTGAAAAATAATCATGTCTTGTGTGCTTCAAATTTTGTGTTTTATTCTAAAACAGCAATTATTTTTACAGAATTTAAAAGACATACAAATGGTTTGTAAATACATCTACCCAAAATGCATCTAACACCCCAAAAACGTAATTATTCAAATGAATGAAACCGTTTGTCCGATATAGTTTTATTTTCGAATAACGAATTACTGCGTGAGATATGGCAATACCACGTCTTGTCTTAGAGTGTAATGGTTTCTTTTCCTTGCATTTATCTGTATAAGTTTTAGTTCACCCTTACAAAGTTGAAAAACTCTCCTCGTCGAGGTCCTTGTAAAATTTAGGAAGAAGCCATTCCAAGTAGCCTTAAAACAGTGTCAGATATATTTTGTGCAACTGAAACGTTTTTTTTTTATCAAAGGAGAACATAATCGGTTTCCCTTTTTATAACCATTTGCTAATTTTGTAAAGATTAAAAGTTGACAAATATTACTGAAATGCAAAGTTTGTAGTAGGAAGTAGGAACACCTGATACATGTACTTCATTTGTTACCTTTTAGGGAATGTCCTGTGATAACAAGATAATACGGATCAAATGCGCAGTTGTAGATTTTTTCGAATACTCACAAGAGACACTTAAAAAAACTAAACTTGAATACGAAATATGAAGACAACGAACAGTAATTAAACCTCAAAAATATCCATTTGAACAATAAAAGTAGGGGACATAAGTCGCATGAAACAAATGGAGATAGAGAACAGTATTCAGACTCAAAAGTCCTTAAAACAATACAAATTAGGAGCAGAGCAAAAACGAACATCCAAAACATAAGAGATGCCATGGACGAGTGAGCATCCTTTGCCGACCGGTCACACCCGCAGTGTTCTCCTTGTCAATATCGAGAAATTACGGAAAAATCTGTCGTCAATTCAGTAATGGACAGTAATGGACTAATAATTTGTATGAACGCATGAAAAACGTCAGTCACGCAGCATTTGACTCAATGATAAATTGTATTTGCTGACAGGGTCATTGTATCGACCATAGAAGTTACTTTAAACGAGACTGCTGATGTTCTTGTTTGCCTCAACTTGTTTGTCAATAGTTTACCTAGTTTTAGAAATGTTTCATATGCTCTTTCGTATCGAATCAACTGAGAGATATAAACTCCATGTGTAGGTGATGAAGGTATATTGCTGCATAATAAGGGAAGTTGACGATTGAAAAGTTAAAGTCACAACATTACTGCTTGACCTTCAACTGAAACATTGTATTTCCTTGCTGATCGATTCTTCTAATTGAAATACTATAAAACGTTTCCGTCTTTTCTTTTATGATTTACTAACCAAAATAGTATATTAAAATATTTTTTTCTGTGCATTGGATCAAATGACTGATTTAAGTTTTACTCCCAATAAGTTGATGTGTTTCAGCTTGTAAGATAAACTTGCCATTTGAAAACATATGTGATTATACAATGCAGGATATATATATCTATATTTAACGAGAATATATTTCTATTAACTGCATGCAAATTAATTTGGTTTGCCATTTAGCAAAATAATACATATGAATAATTGCTAGTATACATTACACACTGTATATACAGTATACTCTTTATATAAAAATCTAGGTTAGGTATTCTTGTGTTCCATTCCTAAAAATCGTATTTTTATTTTTTTTTATAAAAAAAAGGGGGACACGAGACCCTGTTGAAATTTTTCTTCAACATCTCTTAATGAAAAAAAAATTGTGAAATACAAAAAAATTATGGGTTAGATTTGCCATTCTAAATTTTAATGGAAACATTGGTTAAAAAAAGAATGATGTATAATGTAATCAAATGTGCTGAAAGAGGCACAATTCTTCATTCAATAATCATAATTTTTCAGACAGAGAATGCATCGAAATTGATGAGACCAAAAGATGTTATGTTGCTGAGGTCTGCAGCCACAAAAGGTTTGCAATTTTTAGATAGCCTTTGTACTTGCTATTGCTTAAGCAATGAAGTTAATAGTTACTTATACTGTATAAAATGGGTTTGGCCAGTTTATGCTTTATAAACCGCAAAGCAGTTTATAAAAAGAGTGTGCACTGTTCCAAACTAGATTTACTAGTATAACTTGGGTAGCTATATTAACTACATTCCTTATAATTTAATTTTCCATCATAAAGTGTAGACAATAAGAAAATTTTACCTCCAAAAATGTCATCAAATTAGTACCGTCTCACGCTGCGGAATAATCGCTTTTGATGGAAATCAATTACATGTATATCCAGTCAAATGACATGTTAGATCATCATGAAATCATTAACAACTGAATCGAAAAGGGCAAGAAAAATACATACATGTATTGAGTGACAAGCAAGAAAATGAATTAAAATGTAAACTCTTTATTGTTTTCATTTTAATCTTTACCACAAAGACCATAAAGATATTTCAATAAATCATCGAGGTTAATAAATTAATCGATTTTGGTGTCAATTAAATTAGATAAAATAATCATGATTGTTTCTTTATATTATCTAAAATGTTCTTGATTTAGCACTTAGGTAAGCAATTTTTTTTTACTTCTGAGGCAGTGTAATATATACCGTATATAATTGTGTTGTTTTGGTTATTTATCTGTTTTATTTTATTTATTTATTTTGTTTTATTTTCCCTTTGGTTTGTTCACGCATGTCAAAGAGATTAAAAAACGAAAAAAATTATTTTCTAAATTCTGAGTCGTTGATCAACTACCTTCATTTTTAATTAGTTATAAATCAATTAAGCTTTAGACTAAGCAGTTTTTGAAGTAACGTATTCTACGTAGCTAAATGAACAAATTAAGTTTTCATAAAAAAGGATATCATTTTGCCTTAATTCACTCTTTGCCTAATTTGAATTTCGTTTTCGAGATATGTATTTTCTCGATGATCTACTATTTTATGCATGTGAAATTATATTAATACAAGTAATGGGGAATGCTTTAAAGTTTAAATGCATATCAATTTTAAGATATAAAACTCAATCTAACGTGCAATAAACTGAATTCAAAACATCTAAGAAACGACATATACTGGGATCTTAAAGTAGAAGGATGTATATATATTTCCAGTGATGATGGAGACAGGAGAACGACGGGGCCGATAACAACTACGACGAAAAGGTAATTTGTAATAATAACAGTTCCTTTTAAGGACAGTTTTTATAAGAATTGTTTTGTCAATTATTTTTTGAAGATGAGAAAAATATTTTTTTTATTTTTAAAGAAACTCTTTGGATAAAGTATATTAATATATGTTGAACAAACGCCTTCTTGGCATGGATAGGAGTATAATATAGATCAAGGATTAGAACGGATGGCTGTTGAGCCAGTCCATAGAAATAAATATTTTTTTTTACTCTATTTAAACGCAGAACCAAAGCACATTAAATTTTCTGATTTAGTAATGAAAATTTTAATTCATCCTCATTTAATATAGATCCTACAGATATGATAAGCATCGCCATAGCTAAAATGGGGCAAAAATAGGAGTCAAAAGAGTGGATTTTTTTAATGTATAAAGATCAGCACTTTACAATGTCATGTTTATTTAAGTCATATTAATATTATATTTTGAAAATATTCTTGTAAAACGCAAGAGGATTCTCATTTTATGCAGATTTTAGAAGGACAATATTTTGGCATTAGGCTAAGTCTAAGACCACAAAAGGGCAAGGGGGGGGAGCAAAAGTCTAAACATTGTTTAACACAAAGAAATAATAATGTTTAAATCTTACATTAGATATATTTGAACCTGATGGATCAATTCAGGAAATGGGTAATAATCTTTGAAAAAAAAATTTCATGGTAATTTATTCGGTCAAAGGAGCCACTGGAAGTTCTGATCTTAATAAGAATGGTTAAAAGTGTTCAAACTTTGGACGAAAAAGAAATGCCTTTTTATTTCTGGTTTATCGCTGTGGAAAAAATGCCTCATGTCGCACAGGAAAAGTTGTACACGTTAGCGTCTCGATAGTGATCACTTTCAGAAATGAAAATCTCTTTGACTTTTTTGAATGGGTCAGTTACTTTAAAGTCGATTAATGCACTAGATTTTATGAAAATATGTGTCTTTTTAAAGGCATATACTATTATATTATATGATTGAAACTTTTTATTTGTATTTAGCACCTTGTCTGATGGTCAGAAATGTGATACAGGGAACACGTAAGCTTTCCGTAGCTCCAACCTTTTTTCGTACATGTATTAACACTAGATGAAAATCTCAAGCACGGAAAAATACGAGTAGCACAGTTCCATTATAGATCCATAATAAGAATTAGTAATAAAAATCTTTTAACAAAAAAAAAAAAAAATAAATAAATAAAAAAATAAAAATAAAATTGTCCAAATCCGGCAGTCACTGCTGATGCAGAAATAGAATACAATGTAAACACGTTTTGTTTGATTTTGTTTTGTTTTCTAATATGTTTGCTTGAGGCTTTTTGTTTGTTTGTTTTAATTGAATATTTTCTTTTGCTTTTTCTACATCTTTCTTTTAATTTTGGTTTTTTTTTTATTAAAGCTAATTTAAATTCAATATAAATGTATATAGATAACACCAGTTTCATTGAGTATATCACAGAAAAATGTACTTTTTAAGTAAATATAAAATCCTCGAATGTAGTGAACATTTTTCTTCTTTTTTTTTTTTTTAAAAAGGGGGTATTTCACGAATTTTCTCTTGCATGTGAATAACTTTTTTAATCTGTTGTTTATAATGCTCTCTGAGTTTGTTGCCATGATGCCTTGAACACTTCCTTTCCATCTAGAGTGCTGTAATTAAATTCACAATTCGTCAGCGAGAAATATCCGTGGGTTTCGTGATCGAGCTTCTTTTACTCGCGAATATTTCTCGTCGCGAACCAAATATATATTTATTGAATGTTGTCTTAATTGCAAATATGCATGCTACTAGTAAAGTGAAGAAAATATTAAGGACACCGCTGTATATCTAGCGCAATGTTGAAGGAATGAGCATGAATTGGGAGCAGGCATTTCAGAATACTGGGTACTAGTATATTTGCAGAATACTAGTAATTTATAATTATGTCCCTCGCTTTGAAAAGCGGTGGAGGGGGTAAAGTAAATGGAGTCTGTCAGTACATCTATGACTTTTTCAATCAATCAATTTTATTCACTCAAAACCATGTAAATGGTACATGAGGTACAAAAACATATAAACATATATACATATAAAACAGTGGGTCAAGCAAAAGGTGATTATTAAGGAGAACAGACAATACCACTAATTTTAGAAATAAATGTACATAATTGTTTCAAAGAAGCAACATCATTTTGGCACATGATTTCACAAAACTTGATGATATTTGGATTAGAGCAAAATTTTTGGTTCAAATAAACTTTTCTTAGTTGGTTTAAAGCATATCATGATACTCGTCTCCTATCTGGTTACTACTGCATAAGCTACAAACTCTTTCATTTCTTTGAGTACCATTTCCCTACCACTGAAATACTTTCATAAAATTTGTAATAATAGTTTAATTGCGTACCTCCTATTTTACATTTTGATGGATGGATATTTGGTGTTTACAAAACTTGAACACTGCCAATACTCTGTTACATTTAGGCACCAGTGTATCCGCAACTCCTTCTATACCATTGAATGAAATATTACGATACTTTCACAGATAAAATTCATTAATCATTTGGTTTTGTGCTTGTATTTTCTTTCTGATTTCTTTGTAAGTAGGTTCTTTCTCAAGTTTTTTTTTATCATGTTATGATTCAAAAAAGAATTTTTTAAAAGGATTTGAATGTAAAGAACATGGAAGTAAAGATGCTAGTCAATTAACCTTTTCGCTGTTTATATAGATTTCTATTTTTTCATCATTCTTTCATAACTTGTTCTTACAATTTATACTTACCTATTTTATAACCGGTAGAGTATTTATTTTATTCTCTAACGAGGTTGGCTCCTGATATTTAAAGTCTTAAACTTTTTTTGTCGATTATATTTTTACTTTCTACACACATAGCTTAATTAACAAGTATACGAGGTATACTGACAAAACGTCAGAGATACTGTACTCAAGCTGTAGAAAGTCATCTAGAAAGTGTCATTAATATCCTAAAATGGTGTAAGATGAGGACTATTGAGTTCATGCAATCTTCCGTTGAAGATACTCAAGATCTACATGAAACAAAATTCATAAATTGAACTTAATTAGAATAAATATAATTAATCTTACTATTTTAAAGAGGAATGTGGCCGTTTCTTAATTTAATGAAATATTTTTGAAGCATGTCAATGACGTACATCACATTCAATATACAGCAATCCAAATAGCTTGTTACAAGCCTGTAGAAAAATTTCTCAAAGTGGATGGGGAAAGAGACGGGGGGGGGGGGGGGGGGGGGCTCAGGGCTCCAAAAAATCTATATGACTGTAGGCTCATCTAGTTGTGTGGCATGTCCAATCTCTGTATAGAAACTGTTGCTTTACTCATTGTTCATTCGCCATAGAATAGAATCCGACATTTATCACCAATTGCTTCGCATTATCAATTATTTGACCTTTCTGCACTCATAAAATTTGATTTTTCTGGCATTGAAAATTTAATAAGCAAAGATATTAATTTAAAGTCTTAAGCTTTGAGCAGATAGGTCAAAGTTATTTAAATAATCAGTAAAGAACATCAAAAGTGGGGGTTTGTGATGTAAATTTTTAGATTTTACTAAAAACGTGTCAATTTTATGTTAAAATTGTTTTTTTTTTCCTTGACTTTCAGAATATATTAACTATATTTGTCATAATTCGTCGAAAGGATTCATAAGAAATAATTTTATAGATATTTCAGAACAAGCATAACATATATTTCACTACATAAAACAGCTTTGCGTATATACAACCAGCATAGAAAATGGGAGTCTAAAATAAACAGTAATGTATATATTTCAAAAGGGAAAAATTGATTATTTTCTTTAAAAAAAAACAAACCCTGTTACTGGCTTAATCTCCTTGAATAGAATGTAATTGCGGTTTTGCAATGGATTAGTTTAATTTGCATAGTAGAATCTAAATTCAATGTTAAAACTTAAAAATGATGCAGAAGTTTTTATAAAGGTCAAGACCAAAATCGACTCAAAAGCACAGGATCGAACGTCCTAAAATATAAAAATATATGATAAGCATTGACCCTCAGAACGCTGAAAATAAGGTAAAGTTGGTGTGTGTCTATCCCATTTGTACCTGCTTGTAGGTCGCTTGTATTTCCACTTCTTTAAGATACATTGTAGCTTGTTTTTAGTGAGATACAGTTAGCTTGAAATATGGATCTCAATGTCAAAGTGAAATTCACAAAATTTTATTTCATTAAAAAAACATTTTAAAGAACTATTGGTTATGTTAATTAATTTAAGTTAAGTTAAACTTAATTTAAAATACATATAGTTTATATATAGTTTATTTTATATATATATATATATATATATATATATATATATATATATATATATATATATATATATATATATATATATATATATTGTTTATACCCGTTTCCAAAACAGTACTGATTTTAGAGTCTTTTTGGTCATAATTATCATTTTCAGATGCATAAGTATTTCTGCAGCGGTAGCAGCCTTGTTGATCATCATATTAATTCTGTTCACCATCGTGTATATTAGATATAGACAGAAAAGGAAGAGAAAACATGGGGCAGGTAGGTGACATCATTTAATCAGGAAAGAAAATTTTACACATGTTTACTCTACAGTTATTAATATTTCTCAATAATTTAATTTTACTTGTAACACGCCATTTGATTGGATAAAAGATTTTATCCATTTTGTATAACATAACTTGCCTACGTCACAATGAGTTAGTCAAAAAACGTATCACTCCGCTTGACGTTACTTTTAAAATCTAATCAATGTGAAGCCTTATTCTGGGGAGAAATTTATCTCATTGTCTGCACTGAAATTAAATTATAAGGAATGAAGCTTATTTCAACTTATATTATACGATATAACAAAACTTGGGGCAGTTTACGCCTTTTTTATAAACCGCTTCGCGGTTTATAAAGCGTAAACCGCCCCAAGTTATGTTATATCGTATAATATAAGTTGAAATAAGCTTCATTCCTTAATTAACAGTAATATAATTAAAAAATCTTCAACTGTTTCTTTAAATTGGATTCACTTGAAATGTAAAATTCTCTGTCCAAAAATTGCAATATTGAGAGGAAAATTTTAACAAAATCTTCATGAAGTATCAATTTTCTAAATTTTCCTTTATACTTATTAATGTTACATTTTAATCATTCTATATTTTTTATAATTTAGTTTCGTTTGTAACACGTCATTTGATTGGTTAAACGGTTTTATCCATTTTGTATAACATAACTTGCCTACGTCACAATGAGTTACGTCAAAAACGTATTACTCCGCTTGACGTTAACTTTGAAAATATGCGTTATTTGAAGCCTTTTTCCGAAGGAAAAAATGGAAATATTGTCTCATTGTCTACATTGAAATTAAATTATACACTCTACACAATTACAATTTACAATTATACACTCTACGCTCTTCTAAAAAGTTCTTGTTTTATTCAGGAATGAAGCTTATTTCAACTTATGTTAAACGATATAACATAACTTGGGGCAGTTTCGCGGTTTATAAAGCGTAAACTGCCCCAAGTTATGTTATATCGTATAACATAAGTTGAAATAAGCTTCATTCCTTAATAAAACAAGAACTTTTTAGAAGAGTGTAGGGTGTATAATTGTAAATTTATATTTACTGTAGTTGCAGTAGTATAAGAGATGATGATTTTATTAGAAATGTGTAGAGTTTCTTTAGATTTATATTTACTGTACTTGCACTAGTATAAAAGATGATGATTTTTATGCCCCCGTAAACGAAGTTTCGGGGGTATATAGTTTTTGTCGTGTCCTTCCGTCTGTCTGTCTCTCTGGCTGTCTGTTTGTCCGCAAAAACTTAAACCTTGCCCATAACTTTTGATTTAGTGGAGCAATGACTTTCATATTTCACATGTGTATTCCTTGTGACAAGACCTTTCTTTGGGTGCCATCAAATTTGACCTTTTAACCTTGACCTTAGAGTTTGACCCACTTTTATACAAACATTCCAAACTTTTACTTTGGTCATATCTTTTGAACAGTAAATACCAGGACATTTATACTTCACATATGTATTCTTTTTTGAAAGTCATTTCATTGGATACCAACAACCTTGACCTTTTGACCTTGAGCTTTGAGATTTTCCTACTAGAAAAAACTTTAATCTTGGCCATAACTTTTAAACGGTAATTGGTATGGCTTTCATACTTCACATATGTTATACTTGTGAGAAGACATTTCATTGGATATCAAGAACTTTGACCCTTTGACCTTGGAGTTTGACCTACTAGTACTTTTAAAAAGCAAACTATGACCATAACTTAAAAGGGTTAGAGCTAGTGCTTTCATACTTTACATATTTAATTCTTGTGACAAGACCTTTCCTTTGATAACAAAACCTTTAACCTTGGAGTTTGACGTAGTTTTTTAAATTTTTAACCTTGGCCATAACTTCTGAACGGTATGGGCTAAGGCTCTCATACTTTACATATGTATTCTATGTGGAAAGAACTTTAGCAAGACCTTTGACCTTAATCTTGGAGTTTTACCAACTTTTGAACATTTTTAACCTTGCTTATAACTTCTGAACGGTTAGGACTAGGGCTTCCATACTTTCCATACTAGTATGTATTTTTTTGTGGCAAAACCTCTCATTGGATACCAATGACCTTAAAGATTTCCATACTTCGGAAAAAAACGTTAACCTTGGCCTACTTTCATATTTCACAATTATATTTCCAGTGAGAATACCCTACTTTTGGTACCAGTACATTAAATTTGCATTTAAGAAAAATTTCATCATTATTATGGTGCCATACGGGGGCATCAGTGTTTCACAAACACATCTTGTTCTTCATAATGTTGTAAAAGAAACTCAACATATACTTCTTACATTTTCAACTTCTTCTCAAGAACCACTGAGTCAATCTTAACCAAACTTTGTACAAAGTATCCTATGGTGAAGAGAAGTTTAATTTTTTAAAATGAATGACCTAAAATGAATGGCCAAGTTCCCTTACAATGGGAGATAATCAAGAGAAGACAAAAATAGGGTGGGGTCATTAAAAGTCTTCTGCTCAAGAACCACTGGGCCATATAAAAGCTGACATTTATGTAGAAGCATCTTGGGATAGTGTAGATTCTTAATTATTAAAATCATGACCGCCGTGGTAGGGCAGGGCCACAATAGGGATTCGTATTTTTACATATATGAAATAAAAAGAAAAAATATACTTAAGAACTAATAACCTAGAAAAACTGAAACTTATGTTAAAACATCTTGGGGAAGTGTAGAATCTAAATTAATAAAGTCTTGACCCCGGCCGGGGGTAAGGCGTGACCACAATAGGGAATCCAAGTTTTAAATAGATATGTATAGGGAAAATGACGAATCTACTTCTCAAGAACCAATGGACCACAAAAAGTGACACTTATATGGAAGTATCCTGTTTGAAGTGTAAATTCTAAATTGTTAAAATGATGACCCCCAGTTGTAGGATGGGCCACAATAGGGAGTCTAAGTTTTGTTTTACATTGACATATGTAGGAAAAATCTTCAAAAATCATCTCAAGAACCACTAGGCCATAAAAGCTGGTACATGTACTTATATAGAAGGTGTTGCATGTTGCATAGTGTAGATTCAAACTTGTTAAATTTATGACCTTGGGGCACAATAGGTATTACAAGGGGGGTGATGTTTAATCAAAAGATTGCTTCACAAATATGTTTTAAAGCATTTACATATCATTCCGCTTTCCAAATTGAATAAATTGCTTGGTTTTATTTGGTTTTAAATTTGAAGAGAATTTTTGTATTTATTTTGTATAAAAACTTGATAATTCAATATCAATTGTTAAAGAAAAGTGCATTGTTTTTCAACTTACTCAATTTCTCAGATACAGTAAAAGAAGAATCCCTCCCTTTGTTGGAAAAAGCAGATGATGGCAAAAGAGGTTTGTATATATTAAAAATATTTCATGTCAAATGATAGAAGAACCCAAAATTTTTATTTTAGAAATGATGTTGAGTTTTGAAATGCAAGTCTACTTTTGAATGTTCTTCATACAATACTGAAGTTATTTCATCAGAAGTACGAATGTACAAAGAAACCATTGTCCTGAAGATTAAACATATTGGATACAGTATTTTTTATGATGCAAATAGCCTTTTACAATGGTTAAGCACTGGAGAAATACATTGCAGCAATATTTTTTCTAAAGGTAAATAGCAACTAATCAAGTGGTATTTGGGAATATGAAAAAAGTTTTCATGCAATCATTTTTACCTATATTTCTATATGTTCACTTAGAATGTCTTTATTTTCATCTTAGATGCCAGAAAAGTCAAAGAATTGCCTGGACTATCCGCACTCAAAAGATCTGCAGAATTCTTTCATTTTAATCAATTTGTCACCGAACTATCTACACAAATTAACAGGGAGAACAAATTACAAGATTTAAAGAGACTTGCTCTGGGTAATTTTATAGCAATTCTTTACTGTCAATATATATGAGTCAATATGATATATACATGTTACATTTCAACCGAACTATCTACACAAATTAACAGGGAGAACAAATTACAAGATTTAAAGAGACTTGCTCTGGGTAATTTTATAGCAATTCTTTACTGTCAATATATATGAGTCAATATGATATATACATGTTACATTTCATTCTCAGTAAAACAATTTTTATATACATGTAATTTTCATTGTACAGGTGTTGAGGTTACACATGCAGAGTCTATAATCACTGCTGAGGATTTTCTTAAGTTTCTTGTGATGAGCCACTCTCTGCATGAGAATTTGATATATCTCCAAGTGTTATTTTTCCATGTGAATGCCATGAATCTTGTCACTCTTTGTATGGAATTTGGGGAAAACCATCATCTATTATATCTCGAATTGAAGCAAACATCTGAAGGTGTGTAGTGTGTAAATCTCTCTCTCTCTCTCTCTCTCTCTTCGTGGTGAGTGAACTTGAAAATAAAAAAAAATGTTAAAAACCATTTTATCATCTTCTCCCCATTACGAGTATATTATGATTTTATGATAGGTGATGAGTACATTATTCATCATTCTGAGGCGTTCGAGGAGGCAGACCTTGATTTACTGAGGGTTGCAGTGTGCAAATTGTTGGAAACTGATAGGCAAAGAATTCGTATTCAAAGCACAGAGACGCATGTGGCAAAAAGAATTTCCTTTGTAACTTAATAAGGATATAAATTATAAAATACTTAAATCCGTCCAATTTTAGTTCTGTTCAAAGAAACAAAAGAGCTTATCATAGGCACTTTTTTCTATTGTATAATAAGGACACAAGGTATCCAAGTCAGAATTACATGGAGGACCCCCTCCCCAGAATTGCAATAATTTACAACTCAGAGAAATGCACTGGCAAACTTGTTTTACCATTGTCTTCTCCGACAATTTATCTACATATATACCATATATGCTATGTTTGTCTCTATCTTCGTTTATCACCGTAAACAGCGTCAAAACTCCAAGGCCGTAACTACCATTGAGGCCTCACTAAAATTTTGGAGCATTGTGAAAATAAAAAAAGGTTTATTTTTAACTTTAATTAATTATGTGTGTCTTAGTACTAAAAAAATACTTTCAATTTTTCTTTCAATTTCTGTAAACCTGTAAATCTTCTTACCAGGTGTGTCATTATTGTTTAGAACGCATGTAAAAAAAATAATAATATTCAAAACTTTAGTTTTAATTTGTTTGTCTGTTTTACGTCCATTCCAACTGAAGATTTTTTTCCCTCTTATTGAGATGCCACCACTTGGCAGTAGAGGGCTGCAAATTTTAGAGCAATACTCGGCACTCGGGGCCATTGACCAATGATCTTTTTCGTGCAAGCATATCAGTATCATACTGCAACATAAGTCTCCACACCCCCGCAGTGTTGATTCGAACCTTCAACGTAAGGATCAATATTCCTCTGAACCATACGCTCTAGATAGCCACTTTTCAAAGCGAAAGACAATTCAAAACGTTAAAAAAACATTCAAAGATTGTCTTTAATTTTGGGAAATCCCGTATCCCTAGAGAAGCCCCTCAGAAACTCCTATGGCCTTGAGACTCGGGTGGCTCCCAGATCTATTGCCTCGATCACTAAAACTTTGAGCCTAGTTACTTCCTTGAACTCGCCGAGTCGAATTTCACCATGAAATGGTACTAGTATGTGCTAGTCACGGGCAGAGAGCAAACTTTAAATCAAAGTACTGAAAGTACTCATGGGAGTTGAACATGGTGTAAAATAAAATCTTTGATCGATAGGTTAAGTGAGTGAACAGTATTATTATTTCAAATACACACAACTGTTTCAGATTTTTTGTGTTGCAAAAATCTTGAGAAAGACATTCAGAGACATTGAATAACCAAAAAAAAAAAAAAGAAAGAAAGAAAAATGCAAGGGCCATAATGCTTGCCTGCCTGCATTAGTCCTTTTTTATACCCCCTGCTTGAAAAGCGGGAGGGTATTTATTAATCGAGATGTCTGTCCATCTGTTTGTTACGCTTTAGGTATGCCCATCTCTTATCCGCAACTCCTCTTACACCACTGAATAAAATTTTCAGAGAATCTTTATTACATATTGCCGTTGTACACCTTCTATTACTTTTTCATCCTACACATATATTGGGTTTCCCATTGCAAAACATGGACACTGCCATTATATTGATATTAGAGACGGTTGATCATTTATATAATTCACTGCTCACAGTACCTCTAGTTCATCTTCAAATTTGTAATATATTTTTCCTTGGCACGTTTACCCAGGTGTCATGAAAATTTCAGTTTCACAGAAATAGTATCAATGTTGATAAAATGTGGATTTTCACACAGCATCCCTTTTAGAGCAAACAGGTTTGTTATCTAAAACTTTTTTGTGAATATAAATGTATTTCAATTACACGAAGTCATCATTGTACATGGAGTACGTCAGAACTTAATTTTTTTAATATTGTGAAGAAAAAAGCAATGCCAATTTAAAAACAAATAATTAATGACCAAACATAAAAACAGTGGTGTATGTGAGAGTTTGTGTGGGTACAAATTATCTGGTATGTAAATGAGGTTTTCCTTTTTAGTATTGAAAGAAAAAATATTGTTGTTTTTAATCGCGAGTCTACGAAAACATCGGTATCCGTTTTTGGTTTTAACATTTATAACAGAGTACTAGATTTACCGTTTTTGGTAGGTGATACTGCTGATTAAGTAATAAATACGCATGTTTCCGAAAGTATTTATGCATTAATGAATTCATTTAAGCCAAGAGAATGTTCATGAAAAGTTTGCATTAATTCTGTGCACCGGTAAAAAAGAAATTGCTAAAACCCAAAATCCGGGACAGTCGGGCGTCGGGAAGACTAGATTAACCGCTTGCTGTCAGTATGAAGAGTTGTCGTTCGTATCTCTTTCAGTGTTTATAGATGACGCTACACTAAAAATGAGTTCCATTATGAAAAACCTTTGAGGTTCTGTATAATTTAGTTTTACTTTGAACGAAATCTAATATTCAAAATAAGATTACTTTATCATTACAAATACTTACATTTCAAATTATAAAAATTAGATCAAGTCAGGAGAAAAATGACATGAACTATTTGTGGCGGATGTTTATGCATGTTTTCTATGCATTGAATATCATCGGAGTAAATCGGTCGACACAGTAGCCTCGCTTTCGGCTCTACATAATCAACACAAATTACTGCGCATGTAAAATGCGTGATGACCAAGGGAGACTGAACAAAGTTCAACTCCCAAAAATGATTGAGTTTAAAATTAAATACCAGACAGTGTATAAATTTTGCAGTGAAATATATTAAAATTTGTCTGCGCATCATTTTCCATTTTCCGATGTAATTTTTTAACAGATTTTAGACAACATCTCTGCCTGGGTTTAGTACAAACCATCTCATGGTGTAATTCGAATTTCCTACTCGGTGTGCAGAGTTTTTATGCTGTTTACAAATCGAGATAAAAGAAAATAAAGTAAAGCATACCATATATAGTTGCGTAGATAAATTTCCGTAGAAGACAATGTTTATACAAGTTTTGCCAGTGCATTTCGTCTGAAAGTGTTCTGGGGATGGGGTACTCAATTTAATTATGAGTTGGATATGTTTTGGTATCATTATACTATGGGTTAAAAAAAATTATTACCGAAAAAAGTGTCTGTGGAACTTATGCATATAAAAATATATGTATGTCCCTCCATTTGCCTGTAAGCATTTTTTTTCTACAGAACACTTCTCTTACAGGTTTGGTCCATTTTCTTGTTAAACAAGTCAACTATACTACAGTAACAGATTTAACTAGTGTGCCTCTTAAATCGTTCGTCGTGATTTGTAATAGTAATTAGTACTAGCTAAGATTAGTAAGTAGTAGGTCGTATAGATACAAGGTGAAAGTTACTTGTAAATTCTAGTTTTACTAATGTTATCTAGTAAACCCAACCAATATCTAATCAAAATTACTTTTCAAGAAGTAATTGTATGGACAGTAAGTTACTAATCTTCTCTGTGACTTTTGCTAACTATTTTTGTGTTCATCGTAAAGCACTTTATATGTATCTTTTGTGGGTTGCGCGGCGGTTAAAATAGAAATCTGAAAATTCTTCAAAACGTTGATTCTCAAAGATTTTATTCGATTTCAATAAAACTTCTGAAATAGTTATTTTTATATCGGTATTTGATTGTATATGAACGATGTTGCCATGGTATATAAAAATAGTAATTTATATGAATTTCTTTCAAAACACTCTACAATGAGACTTAGTACGTACGTAGACTACCGGTGTGCTTTGGTCTGATTATATAAATACATAAGTGGGTTAAATAATTACAAAGAAGTAACTCTTTGGTTTCGACAGAGGCCCCAGGTTATTTGGTTTATTCCTACCCAGCCAAAATTCTGAAATTCTTATTCCCATCTTGCCAAAATTGTGATAATAGCCAAATCATCTTTTAGAACATGTCTGGTACTAAATAAGTTAAAATTGATCCATTTCATTTTTTATGTAGCAGGCTTGGGGGCAAAAAGCTTAGACGAGCTCACTTTTGATCTCAGTGTCACTTTTACAAAAGGAATCATCAATAGAATAGTGAGACTGATATCAAAAGTGAGCTCGTCTAAGACACAAGTCCCCAGGACTTGTGTCATGGGGACTTGTGTCATGTGCAAAAAAGAGATTTGAAATTTCCATTCTCATCCTGAAAATTGATATTCTAATAAGGAGTCAAGAAACGATATTTTCCCCAAAAAATATTTTAAGACGTCTAACATATTATGTTATAGCGAAGTCAACCTCTAGAATATTATAGGTAGAATGTAGTTTAGATACGCAAAAAGGTTCCAGAATTGTATTGGGCAACGTTTTTACAAAACACTGATTCCCATTTGGGCAGTAGCCAAATCCTCATAAATAATAAGATTGTGTCTTGTAGGTAATGATTTTGAATTGTCTTTTTCATCCGGGGTGCCATTCTGGGGCTGAAACATTTTGTTTTATTGCATAAACTATGTACAGTGAATCCAGAACTCAGTCATATTCCAAAATATGATTTGGTCATTGTTTAAGTTGTAAGAGAATGTTATCCTACAGGCCTAAGTAAGCGAAAAGCTTTCGTATGCTAGAATTTATATTTGTGACCTCTTTGCATTATATCCTATTGTGAAAATATATATAGTGTAATATTAATTAAAATAAAGGGATATCCTACTTCCAGAAATGGAATAGTATGTAAAGTTTGATACATCTTGTCAATCATATAAATTACAAAGACCGAACCACGTTTTATATCCGCTTACTATGTCTGAAAAAAATGTCTTTATGGATTATGGATATTGCAAATCATATGCTTTTTAAACTCCCATGTTTTACCGAAGAAAATGCAGCTAAAACGATCCGTCTTTTCTTTTTACTTCGATATGCCAATAAAGGAACTGACGCGGTTAGCATAAGTAATATTCGTAATCATAAAAGAGTCCAGTCCAGGGGCCAGTTTCACAAAGCTGTCTTATGACTAAGATCGTCTTAAGACCGAAAATAATCGTGAGATTTCACCTTAGCTGTTTCACGAAACTGTCATAATTATCTTATGATAATCATAAGATCTATCAAATTTCTTTAGACAACTAGATACATGTCTAAAGTGAAACTGGCGGCAGTATATATTTTGGCTAAAAACCGAGGGCTGTTTAAAGATAAAAGGTTTTTAGAGATAGAACAATCCTTTGGACTATATCAGACCAGACAGAACAATAAC